TTTGTAGGCTTGTAGCCCAACTTTGCAATTGTAGTCTTCGCTTGTTGACAACTTAATTGACATTGGGCTGATATTGGCTGGTTCCTTGTTTATAGCTTGGAGTCATCTGATTAATTAGATAAAGTTATTTTTAGTGAACTCAAAATGATGTTATTTTAAGGTTATAAGATTAAAAAATTATAATTATAAAAATTAATATAACCGTGCAATCTGTTATAATTACAAAAACACATTGACTTCTGTCCCAAAACGACGTCATTTTGAGCTCATTGGAGATAATTTATATCTATTGAGCGGAGAAATTCTCTACCCACCATTAATTAAATGATGTAATATTATTAAACACGCAAGGACAAATTCAGAGAAGTTCATAAAATTTAATTACTTTTTTATCATTGGGGGAATTTATAAAAAAAAAAAATAGACTTGTAAAATTTCATTAACATGGTATGGAACTGAATGCTAAGAAGCAACAAGTACGGGAAAAATAGTGTCATATACTGTTATTTTAAAATTAATACCTACAAGTATAATTTCTTAATTAAATGTTTACATATTTAATACATGTTTAGATTATATTTTTAATTTTCACAAAACTTATAATTAAAATATTTTAAATTTTCACCTCGATGTCGGCTCTTCACCACCTGGGGCTATAGTATGTTTCAAGGGTTAGGCTGTTCGCCCATTAAAGCGGTACGGCCAAAAAGGGGAAGGACTCTTCCCTCTGGGGGTAGAAAAATCATGATCGGGCTATTGGAAAAAGTATTTCTCTAACCTGAGATAAAGTTATTTTCAATAACCTCAAAACGGCATCACTTTAGGGATTAGAAAAAAAATGCATGATATTTTAAAATTTTATTATCTCTGTGTACAATGAATTTTATTAAAATACCATGTATTTTATTTTCTAAGGCCCAAAATAACGTTATTTTGGAGTTACAAGAGATAAATTTATCTTCTGGTACAAGAAAAACATGTAAAAGTATAATTAAAATATTATTTAAATTTAATTGTTTTGCATATTAAATAACTTTTAAGCCAAAAATTTAATAACTTTTACTCTTTATTTTAGTCTTTTTTGAATATTTTGTTAATGATGAATTTATATTATATTTATTATTTTTTATAAAATTAAAATTTAATAATTATTAATTTAATTAATTATTTCTCAAAATAGTATAATTACTATAAGGTATTTTTAGTTTTATGTAAAATAGGTTAAATTGTTATCAAAAAAAAAAAAAGGTTAAATTGATGACTTGTCCGTAATAGTTTCACTCAAACTTTAATGGGACGTTTGGTAGAGGAAAAAAAAAAATTATCCGAGAATCTCAATTTTCAGAAATATGATGAAAACATTCAGTTTATGATAATATCCGAAATTAAAAATTTAGAAAAATTTAGTTTTCCGGGAATCCTGAAAAAATACCGGCTACCAAACGCCCCCTAAGGGTAAATGATTTCTCCGATCAATGGAGATAAGTTATCTCCGGCGAGTCCCAAATGATATCGTTTTGGGGCAGAAATCAAAGTATTTTTGTAATTCTAATATATTGTAGGTTATATTACTCTTTATCATTATAATTTTTTAATCTTATAATCCCGATAACTTTATCTCTGATGACTGGAGAAATATTTTTTCCTTTAAATAAATAATATACCATTATTTATTTATCAACAACTAGCCACATTCAATTTCTCTTGTATTTAAAGACATTGTTCAAGTTCAAACCAACCTGAAATAACTTTTCAATATATGCGGATAACACTAATTATATTATATATATATATATGAAAAAAATATTTCTCCAACCACTTAAAATAAGCTTACCTCAAGCTATCCTTTTTAATTATGTACTAGGGTAGTACAGAGTTATAATGTTAAAGTTACTTTTTTTGTCTCTCTCTACGTCAGCAGACAAGTTTTAAAAAATGACTGAGAAGAGAAAAAAAAATAACTTTAACGTTAAAATTATGTACTATCCGTAGTACATGATTATGAGGAGGGATATTCTCACTACCAACTTACTACCTATCTAATCACCATTAGATTAACATTTTCTCTCTCTTCAAAAACTTTTAAACGTTCTGTCTCTTTGATCCAATGGTGATGTGATGGGTAGTAAGTTAGTAATGAAGCTTTTTAGTAGTTAGAATATCCACACTTCATAATTATAAGCAATAGCTTGAGATAAGCGTATCTCAAGTGGGTGGAGAAATATTAATCCATATATATATATATGGAAAAACATTTCTCAAGCAGCTTGAGATAAGTTTATCTCCGGCTCTTCCAAAACTACGTCGTTTTATTTATTTATTTCCTTATATTAATTGATTTACCTTTGAATGGTTATGGTTCCCTTTTTCTCTCTTCCTTTATCACCATTGATCCTGTACGGATATGATTTAGTAGTCGGAGATAAGATTATCTCAAGCAGCTTGAGAAATGATAAGCCATATATATATATATATATATATATATATATATATATATATATATATATATATGGAAAAAATATTTCTATAGCCACTTTAAATAAGGTTATCTATAGCTACTCCAAAACTACGTCGTTTTGATTAATGAAGGGTGTTTATGTAATTTTAGGTGAATTAATAAAGGGTATTTCAGTAAAATGTATATGATAAAAAAATAAATAAAATTACAAAAACACCTTTCATTAATTCACCTAAAATTACATAAACACCCTTCGTTAATCAAAACGACGTAGTTTTTGGGCTAGCTGTAGATAATCTTATCTAAAGTGACAGTAGAAATATTTACCCCTATATATAAGGGTTATTCTTACAATATAAAAGTTTTACAACCTTGTTATAAAAAAAAAAAAAAAGTTTTACAACCTCTTTCAACATATTTTTTCACCTTTAATTTCCATCAATCCAATAGTTATAATTTATTGGAAATTATAATTAATTAATAGATATGACTCAATAAATCATAACCATTAGATTGACGAAAATCAACGGTGAAAAAATATGTTATAAAACTTTTTGGTTGTAAACTCCTCATATATATGAGTTTTATACTTCTCATGTTATATGAGATGAACCTTCGTATGCCTTAGAGACAAAAGTCGTGTGAGACTCATATGTTAGAAAAAGTAATATGTAGGATCTATGTCAGCACGGAAATTGAAGGATACGTAAGAAAATTTCTGTTCTTATGTTATATGAGAAATATAAAACTCTATATATATATATATATGAGAAATGTCATACTTACTACCTTTTTTACTTACTACAAAATATTAACAGTTGATCTTCTTCAATCTAACGGTTATAACTTATTGGGTCAAACTTAATAAATTATAACCGTTAGATTGACTTAAATCAACGGTTAAGATTTGGTACTAAGAAAATAATATAATAAGTATAACATTTCTCATCATAACCATACATTTGTCGTTGTTGTACGTAAAGCGGCTGCAAAAATGATTTTACCTATATATATATGGGAAAAAAGTTTCTGATGTTACTTTAGACAACTTTGTCTAATGTTCATCGAAACGACGTTGTTTTGAAGTTAAAAAATTAAAAAAATTAGAATGATAAAGACTATTATAACCCTGAAATAAATTAAAATTACAAAAACACCATGATTTCCGTCCCAAAACGACGTTGTTTCGATGAACATTAGATAAAATTATCTAAAATAACTTTAGAAAAAACAAACCCTATATATATATATATATATATATATATATATATATATATATATATATATATATATATATATATGGGGCGGTTAATAAGTGTATCCAATAAATTATAATCGATAGATTAGCGAAAATAAACGGTGATTAATTTAGTAGTAAGAGTTATAAAACTTTTCAGTAATAAATATAACCTCTTCTATATATATATAGTGGCAGAACACGTCTGCGCAAATGTCCGCAAGTGCGAACATGAAATTTTCGATTTTAGTTTTTTTTTTAGGTCCTTATTTATCTCTTGGCTCAATATTTATATTAGGAATAAATACTTTTTTAAGTCCCTAACAAAAAACATGATCCCCCACTTTAGTCCCTTATAAAAAAAATTAGCCTCGAGTTTCCTGAGAAATTCAAAGTAGATCAATTTAGTTAAAATCGTGGTCCCTCACAAATTCAAAAAAGATTCACATTAGTCCATCAAAAAGATTAAAATGGATCCACTTTGAATTTCACAGTGACAAGGTGACTAATTTTTTTTATAATGGACGAAACTTGGGATCGAATTTTTTGTTAGGGACAAAAAATGATATTTATTCTTATATTAGTTAGCAACGTACAGAGATGATTAAAACAACGTAGCAACACAAATTGATTAGAGAGAAAACTTATTCTTCCTCCCCTGTCACGTACTCATTCTTATGTTTTCTTCATCATTTGTTTCCTTTTTCATTTTTATAAAAAGAGAAGATTGATTGCAGGTCTGACATTCTCAACTAAGTTAATCTCTAGAGATGTGATTTTGCTTGCCTTATGTATAGATAATGTTGACTTTTTTATTCACCACTATAAAATAGAATTATGATATATGGATGTACTGGAGTATATTCTCATATTTATTTTGGAGGATTGATAAGATTTAGGGGGAAAAATGATTGGTCAAACTATTGTCTGCAGCTTGTTGTGAAAAGCAACTAGATTATGAGCGGGTTCAAATATTAATTTAAATTTTCTTTACAAAAAAAATTTTGGGGCACCTGTCACTAAATGTGCGGACATAAAGAAATTTTCCTGGGTCCGCCAATATATATATATATATATATATATATATATATATATTAAGTAAACTTATGCTTCGTTGTGTCGAAAGGTTCTTTTAATTTTATTTTTATTTTTTTTTCTATAATCCCATGGTATCTTCATGAATGATAAACTTATGCTTCGTTGTGTCGAAAGTTTCTTTTAATTAATTAATTTACTTTTTTCTATAATCCCATGGTACCTTCATGAATGATAATCGATAAACGACTATAATGGAGTTAGTAATAGTCGATTTACTTGGGAAAAATAGAAGACGAAAATAAACAATCCACACAAGACGTACCTTTAACGCATCGTCGTTTTCACGCAATACTCTTCACCTTCGAAGATGATGCGTTGGCAATTGTTGGTGAACGATTCATTGGTGAAAGAAATGTAGTTAGTGAAGTGAGGTGGTAGCAGTAAGAAGTAGGAACCAATGGCCGATCATATAGCGAGGGGACAAGAGCTTGCGAAGAAAGCGGAGAACAAGCTCCGATGTTGTTGTGCCTTGTTCGGTTCTAACTATGAAGACGCTGCTGAATTATTCCACAAATCTGCAAATTCCTTCAAACTCGGAAAATCATGTCTGTTTCATCTCACACTCCTTCACTTAAATGAATTTTATTTTTTTATTTTTTTTATATTTTGCTTCATGCATCATCATCATCATCCTCACGGTGTTTTGTAGCTGCGCGAATGTTGAGGTTTTGCAAATCCCAAACTATCAGTTTTGAATATTGAACTTCTGGGCATTCGTTTTTTGCTGAGCAAGAGTGAAAAGTTTCCACCTTTTTTCTGTTTTACTACCTTTGATTGTGTGGGTCTGAGCGTCACCGTCTTGTTTGATTGCTTGAAATTTTGGGTTTTTGAAGTCCCAAGTTTTCAATTTTAGTATTTGAAGTTTTGGGCACTTTTTTTATTAAAAAAAAAAAAAAACTTTAAACCAAGAGCAAAAAAACTTCAAACATTCTCTGTTTTGTTACTTTGAAGTATCACGGGAATTTGTAGTGTGTAAGGTCATTTGTTTGATGCTGTGATTAATGATATCTGTCTCGCACTTTTGTTCAGGGGACAAAGCAGGGTCAGTCTTCATCAAATCGTCCAAGTGTCATATGAAGGTTCATTACAATTGTCACTGTGATTTTTGGGACTTTAGAAGCGAATTTTGTGCTGTTGGGTTTATATATGATATCCCTTTTGCAATGATATGTAGTACAGATAGATAACAAGCATGATGCAGCAAATGCTTATGTAGATGCCGCTCGTTGCTACAAGAAAACATCCACAAAAGGTTTTCTTCAACTTCTTCCCCCTCCCCCTCTTTTTTGATTGTGATGCTACATATTTGACTTTATGTTGTTGACAAATACATCTCATAAAGATTTGAATCTAAAAGGATTCTCTTGCTGCTCTTTAGATCTCCATTGTTATATTGAGTGAGCTTACGCTAAGATTTAATGAAAAAGCATAATAACCCTTCTATTCTACCTACTTCTCTCTTCTTTGTTGCTTTGTTTCCATTTGTATTCCCGGGGCAGTGCATATACATTCCAGTAGCTTAACTAACTTCTTGTCGCTTCTCTTTTTATGTTTTAAGGAGCAATTTCGTGCTTAGATCAAGCGGTGACTATCTTCACAGAGATTGGTAGACACATCTTGGCTGCTAAGTACTGCAAGGTACTTTTTGTTTTTATGGATACACACACACACACACACATATCAAGGGTGCGATGTAAGCACTTGGGTAGGGGAAGGGTAAAGGTAGCCAAGTGAATGATGGAACCTCCAACATCAACATAACACCCAAGTCCTAAAGACTAGGGCAAGCTTGTTGGCATGTGCCTTAGTTATTCTATTACCCCAATTTTCTGACAACTTTTTCATATACATGTATTGTTATGTCAGTATTCTTCTTGCAGTGTTAGTGCATGCTGTTAATTGTTTTATTGTTTGAGGTTCTGATAAGGAGATTAAATCCTTCAAAAATAATGAAAGTTTGCTGAGGAGTTAAATTTGTCTTTCTGTTTTTAGGAAATCGGTGAGTTATATGAACTCAATCAAGACATAGAGCATGCTAAATCATATTTTGAGAGGGCTGCTGAACTTTTTGAGCTTGAGAATGCAACAACCTCTGTGATCCAGTGCAAACAAAAAGTTGCACAATTTTCTGCTCAACTTCAACAGTAAGTGTTGATCTTCCTGCTCCCTTTAATGCAACTTTTCAATAGTATGCTGGGAATTATCTATATTTAAATTCCTTTTGCTTGCATATGTCTTGGAATTCTATGTAACTACTATCCTTAGAATGATAAAAGGTATCAACTAATTGATTGGGATATACATGCCATCTAAACTTCATTTGCAGAAACTGATTAAGGATGAAGTAGCTTATAAAGCATAAAAACATGGAGTATAATTGATCTCCTTGATATTTACCAGATATAAGAAGGCAATTAAGATTTATGAAGATATTGCCCAGCAATCGCTGAACAATAACTTATTGAAATATGGAGTTAGAGGACATCTTCTTAATTCTGGCCTATGCCAGCTTTGTCAAGGGGATATTGTTGCAATTACCAAAACCTTGGAGAACTATCAGGTTCTTTTTAGTGTTCCTTCTTGATATTGGAGTGTCACTTTAACTCTTACTTTTAAAATATTTTCCATTGATCATGTAGGACTTGGATCCAACATTCTCCAGAACTCGTGAATACAAATTTTTGGCTGTAAGTGGTGTTATCCAACAGTTTTGGCTCTGCAATTATGTTTGTTTGTTTAGAATAACTCATTGTGCCCCCTTGAAACCCAAAAGAAAAATGGTCATATACTATTAGTTTGGCTTGCTACTTTGCTCTTATTCTTTTCTTGATCACTGTTTACTTGTATTGATTGAATTTTATTATCAAATTTCAGGATTTGGCTGCATCAATTGATGAGGAAGATGTTGCAAATTTTACTAGAGTAGTCAAGGAGTTTGATAGCATAACCCCACTGGTATATCTCTGTGTGTCCCAAGACCTAAGTATTAGTAAAATATCATCATATGACAATCTCTTTAATGTTTATCTAATTCTTTTAATGCTTGTAGTAATTTATTAAAAACGAAAACTGGTATTTTAGTATTTCTCCTTTTTTGTTAACTGTTAGAAAGTAAGATTAATTGTTTACATTGTTGATATGTGAATTGATTAATTTGTAGAAGCTACGATGATAGATCTCTTTATTTTGCTGTGTTTGATGAAGATATCACTAAGTATCTGTTTAGTATGTCTTATTTTTAGCTCCTTTTTTCCTTAAAAGCAGAAGCTCAGCTAAACATGTTTTCATAGCTCTTATTGTAAAAGGGCTTTTTTTTATAATGAAGAAAAAAGCTAAAAGCTCCTAAGAGGATATTTTTAAAAAAAATGTATGCCAGCTTTTTGGAGTCCTCATATTTATTTTATTGTTTTACCCTTATTTTAAGCTTGTATTTATAAATTTTATCTTTTACCCTAATAGTCTATCATAATAACAAATTATTGTATCTTCCATCCTTCAAAATCATCATAGCAGCTTTACATGATCTCAAACAGCTTTTAACTTTATTTTTTAAGCTCTTTTTTTCAACTTTAGCTTAGAAGTAGCTTTTAACTTTAAAAAAAAGGGTGCCAAACTGGCTCTTAATTCTATTTTTGTTGACCGTCGACCTAGATAAAGATTTGGATTGACTGCTTTTCAGAAATCATATCCTAAAGATGACCTTTTTTAATGCCTTTTCTGAATACAACCTTATTTTAGAATCCCAAGTTCTTGCACTCTTCTACATGGATCCCAATTCAAAATTGATATTTTGTATGCCTTCTTATTTGCCATTGTAAAGTATAGTGCATATTACTATCAGCATTCTTATCTGCAAATCTTCTTGGAACTATTTGATGTGTAAAATAGTTATATTTTTGTTTATGTTCTTGGTATCTTGGAGATTTGAGAATTAGCATTGTAGTATCAAGATGCATTTTCTGCTCCTTAACTGATACTGCCATTTGTAAGAAGAATGCCATTTGCACACCTCCTTGGTCATGATCATGTCTTGTGTGACTTTTAGAGTGTCAATTGGGTCCATGCTATGTAAAGTTTCTGCAGTACATGACCCATTTCCATGTCAAATCTGTTTCTATCAGTCTATATGTCAAATTAAGAGTTAGCCACAAATATGCTTCAAAGATTTATTGCCATCCTCATAATTCCTATCAAATTCTACTTGTTTCTTAATTTGCATGTGACCAAGCTGTTTTAATGTAGGATTCTTGGAAGTCCACCCTTCTATCGAGAGTAAAGGATGATTTGAAAGAAAAGGAGATGGAAGAGGATGATTTGACATGAATCAATCACAATTGAATTTTCTGCCAATGAAGTTACTTCCAACTTTGTAAATGCCAGAGGTAAGATTTTATTTTTTTCCCCATCTTTTGATGGTTTTTCTTATTATTATTTGAAGCAGAAGTGTATGTGCCCAAAAATTGACAATATGTTTCCTCCAAAACTTTATGCTGAGTTGTAGAAAGGAAAGGACAATATCGAACCCATGACATTAACGGCACCATATATTATACAACGGTTATAGTTGTATGAATTACTGTCGCATTGGCTGTTATGTTTTTACGTTATGCGTTGGTGCACACACACATATACATATCTAACGGCTCTAATTTTTTAGTAACGTGAGCTATTGGATACAAGTGGATCAAGGCTTAAGATTGAGAGTAAGACTTCTAATTCTTACACTAGTGTAAGAATATCCTGCCTATATAGGAAAAATTATGTATCATTTTAAAAGATATAAAGTTGTGTCATTTTAAGTGAGAGAAAGAGATAGATAAAGGAAGAGAGAGAGAGTGGACAAAAAAATATAAAGGTATGGTTCCATTTCTTTGTGAGAGTGAAATGATATAAGTTGTGTCATTTAAAAGGACAAACACTTTTCTCATATATATATATATATATATATATATATATATATATATATATCATTTTTCCAGCCGCTTGACGTCCAGTAATAACAAGTGTATGGCTATGATTTCTCATATTTAATGTTATCACCTATATATATGGTAAATAATTGACCATTGACATCAAGCGGTTGGAGAAATATAAACCCCTATATATATAAACCCATATATGAGAAAAATATTTCTCAAACTGCTTAAGATATATTTATCTCTGATCAGCCCAAAATTACGTCGTTTTGTTTATCTATTTCTTTATATTAATTGATTCACCTTTGAATGGTTATGATTCTCTATTTCTCTCTTTCTTTATCACCATTGATCCATCTTTGTACGGTTATGATTTAGTGGCCGGAGATAAAGTTATCCCAAGCAACTTGAGAAATGATAAGTCCATATATATATATATATATATATATATATATATATATATATATATATATATATATATATGAGTTTACATTTCTGCAACTGCTGTACGTGCAGTAATCAAATACTTGCTATATATATACTTGAAAGCATTAAATCCGGAGAATCATAACCATACAAAGGATGAAAGCATTAAATATGGGGAATCATAAACATACATCTGTCGTTGTTGTACATAAAACGGCTGCAGAAATGATTTTACATATATATATAATATATATATATGAGTTTACATTTTTCTAGTCGCTTGACGTCCAGCAATCAAATATTTACCATATATATAGGTGACAACATTAAATGTGAATCGTAACTATACAAAAGGTGAAAACATTAAATGTGGGGAATCATAACCAAAAACTTGTCATTGCTGGACGTTAAGCAGCTCGAGAAATAATTTTACCTATATATAAAAGGTGAAAGCATTAAATGTGGAGAATTATAATCATATATCTGTCATTGTTGGACGTCAAGTGGCTGGAGAAGTAATTTTATCTCTCTCTCTATCTCTATATATATATATATATATATATATATATATATATATATGTGAGTTAGGATATTCTTACTACCCATTTTTTTTACTACCACTTCACTACCACTCTAATCATCATTGGATTAGAGGAAAAGTTCAATGAAGAGAAAAAAAAAAAAAAAACTTTTGAATCCAATGGTGATTAAAGTGGTAGTGGAGTGGTAGTAGCAAAAATTGGTAGTAAGAATATCCTACCTCTATATATATATGAGATAGGATCAACTTACACCGGTGTAAGAATAATCTTACACTAAAGCTTAACCGTTGATTTTCGTGCATCTAACGGTTGAGATTTATTGGGAATTGAAAATTAATTAAAGAGTGAGACCTAATAAATATTAACCGTTAGATGAAGAAAATCAATGGTTAAGATTTGGTGTAAGACTTCTTACTCTTACACTGGTGTAAGATGATCTTGCCTATATATATATTGGCCATACTTTGGAATCACTTAGTGGAAAAAAATATTTATACAAGTGAGTCAAGCTGGATTTCTTTTTTCTGCCTCTTGTATAATTTATTTATTAAATTATAGAAGGTGAACATGAGTTTCTTTGCACAATTCAAAATTTTTGTATGACAATTAATATATATAGTAGCATTTGCATTTTAGCCTCGTTTGCCTATGAAATATTCTTCACCATGACAATTGTGCCTCTGCCTTGGTCATTATGAAATGTTCTTCACACCACCAATGTTATTAAAACCGGCTCGATACTTGGTCGAGGTACTGGATCATTGGTTCAACTAGTGGGTCACTGATTGAATCGCATGACCCGGTGATTATATATAAATTTATAATTTATATTAAAAGAAATTATAAACATACTCAATTAGTTAAAAAAAATAATATAAATTGTAAATGTTTTAATATAAATTATACATTATTGTTCAATAAAGGATCAAACAAACATATAATGCTTGTGATATTGGTGTTTTAGGTTCAGTAAACGACATATCTATCTATATATTAAATCAAAACATATAATACTTTTTTTTTTTTGAAATATACTCTCTTTTTTGAAATATATATTTTTTAAAACGTCACCGGTTAATCAGTCGTGTCACCGATTTTTATCAAAATCGGTTGGGTCGCACCGGGTCTGGTACTTGGCCGATCCAATGTGATAACCGGACTGGTCAGATAATTGATTCATCGGGTTCCAGGTTGACATAGCTGGTCCGGTCCGGTTTTCACAACATTCCTTTACACACTGACAATTGTGCTTCGTTTTCTGTAAGAATTCGATTTTTTATTTATTTATTTTTTTACATTGAATGCGTAAAAGAATAAAATCACATTGAATTCCTCCTATTTGGTAACTAATTCTTCTCCTTCGCTCATAATTTTTCTCTTCACTATCATTGTCATCATACTTACTCATAGATTCACAAACAACCAAAATCCCTTCACATTTTTTTCTTCCCTCTTCCAAAAATATTCTCTCTTCTATTTCTTTTTTCCTGAAAACATGAACCATTGTGAAAGTCAAAATTCGAAGCTTGATTGATAATTGTATAGTTTAAAATCTCTATGGATTTTTTAATATTTATTAATCACATAGAACTAATACATTTCTTTTGCTAAGGTAATTGATGTTAGAGTAAGCTTATCCGATGATATGATAATAGAGTAAATAAAAAAAAAAAAAAAACTTACATTGAAATTGTATTAAATTTAATGGAAATTTACTCCTTATGTTGATGAAAAAAAAAAAAAATCTTCTGTCAACGATTATAACTTTATATTAGGGAGAATACATAATTATAATATTAAAGTTATTTTATTTTTTTATTTTTTCAGAAGTTGGTGACTAATGTAGAAAAAGAGAAAAAAAAATAATTTTTATATCATAACTATATACTTTTCAGAATATATAGTTATAATTGGTGGCAGAAGAAGATTTTTTTTTTTTTGCAGCAATAAAAGAAAAAAGGGACCATAAATTTAAATCCTTATTTTAACTTATCAACCTAAAAAAATAAAGTCACCTTTTGTAATTAAATTCGTATTTTAATATTTTGTCAACTATACCTCGATCGACATTACATTTAATATAGGGATGTTCGTGGGTTATCAGGTGACATTTTACTCCAAGTACACGCCATTTTTTAAAGAAAGTCAATCGGTTATGAGGTCCAAATCAAAGAACTGGAGACACAAATTATTATTATTAATTCGTTTTTATTAGTTGGGTTTGGTTTAGATCGTATTATATGAACCAATCCAAATTAACTTAATTGGTTTGGTATTTTGGGTTCATGACATTGGTTCAAATTTGAACAACCCTTCTAAACTGGTAAGTTGTAAGTTGTAACCAGGTTGATATCGATACATCATAAAGGGGTGGCAATTTGGGTTGACCCGCCCCGACCCGCCCCGCCCCGCCACCAACCCGCCAAAAACGGGGCGGGGCGGGTTGACCCGCCAAAAAATATGGGTTGTAAAAATGAACCCACTCCGTTTTATGGTGGGTTGGCGGGTTGGCGGGTCAACCCACCAACCCGCCAATTAAAAAAAATTTAATTAAAATTCAAAAATAAATTATATTTTATGCATTTTTTTAATATTATTTTATTTTATTTCACACTTCTCTATAGTTTTTTTAGTTTCAATCTTAAATGTATACTAATATTTGTCAAACATTCTTTAGGAATTTATAAATAGATAACATTTGTCATAAATAAAATAGTTATTCTTTATTTTTTCTAGAAAGTACTAAGATAAAAAAAATTTGAATATCACAAAAATTTAAATACTAATGAAATACTACCTAATTGTAAAAAAATAAAAAAAATAAAAAAATTTAAAACCCGGCGGGTCAACCCGCCCCGCGGCGGGTTGAACCCGTTTTGACCCACTTCTAGGCGGGGCGGGTTGAGGTGGGTTGGTGGGTTAAAAATCTCAACCCAACCCGCCCCGTTTTGGCGGGTTGGCGGGTTGACCCGCCGGGCTCAACCCATATTGCCACCCCTACATCATATGAATGTCCATACTTAAATCAACTCTTTAGGATTTTTTAATAATATATTATTATTATTATTATTATTATTATTATTATTATTTAATAGAGAATAATATATTATTTTTACCAATTAACAATGTCTACATTGTTATAAAATGATACCAATTATCGGTAACTATATATATCTTAACAATTAACCATAATCTATAAATAATACCAATAAATAATAATTCTAAATTTTATTTTAAAAATCTATTATATTCCTAAAGGGGAAAAAATCATAAATTTTCGCTCACCAAAAGAAGTAATCATAATTATTATTATTTTGTCAAAGTTCAATATACCAAACAAAGAGAAAATTACAAGTTTTGGATTCTTAAATTGGTGTCGTTTTCGCTCGTGCACGATTCTAGCATAACATGCATGAGACGGCTCAAGCAGTTGCTTCAGTCATATTATAAGGTTGATATTTTGCATTTTGCCAAATGGCAAAGAAACTGCCAACCACCACTCCACTCCACAAGTTTTCTATCTTATTTTTAAAAAAAATTGTAATTAAGCATATAATGATGTGTAAAGATATTGTTTATAGTAGTTTTGTCATTTGTAACTACATATTGTTATGAATAGGTTAACAAATGACGTGTTATGTGACAGTGTTATGATTCCAGGTTTCTTTTTTTATCTTGTGAATGTCTATTAGTTGGTGCCTGCGAATTGCGTTCGATATTTTTTTATACTATGAATTTTATAATTCTCATTTAACATGAGAATTGAAATTTTTTTACACACCATTCGATTTCCGTGCTCACATAAGTCCTATATATAATTTTTTCTAACATATAAGTTTCATATGATTTTTGTCTCTACAACATAAGATTTCTATTCTCGTTCTACATGAGAATTATAAACCCTTATACTATGAGAAGAGATTGGATCCTCTTATTTTTAAGCTAGAAGCTACTTATAAGCTAAAGCTAAAAAAAAGAGCTTAAAAAAATAAGCTAAAAGCTGTTTGGAAATTACATAAAAGTTTTAGCTTAAAAGCACATATTTCAAGAAAATTATCTCTTTCTATCTTTATCACTCTTTATTTTTAAAAAAAGCACACAATTCAAGAAAAACAGATAAGAGCTTAAAAAAAAGCTCCTCCTAGGAGCTTTTAATTTTCAGCTTTTTTCTTCATTATAAAAAAAAGAGCTTTTCGTTATAAGAGCTTTTTCCAAAACGTGTTTGGCCTAGCTTATGCTTATAAGTAGCTTGTAGCTTAAAAAAAAGAGGATCCAAACAGGCACTTAGCATTTTCTCTCTTTGATCCAATAGTGATGTGATGAGTTGTAAGTTAGTAGTGAAAATTTTTGGTAGTTGCAATATTCTTACTCTTATACTATATCTCAAATCGAACTAATCGCGAAAAAATAAGCCATCAATTGAAATATCTCAAAAAAAAAAAAAAAAAAAAAAAATTACAAAAACAAGTACATAGGATTCCAGGTTATAATTTTTGCCGTCCGAAAACCATTTTATGTACCTAAAACACTTCGAAACAAAAACAATGCTGTCTCAGCAATTTGGTTCCACTCGCAACCACTATCTTCCTTCACTTCTTTTGTTCTTGTCCTTTTTCACTATAACTCTCTCACTATATGTATATATAACACGGTAACATTACTATGTTCTCACTGAACATAAGTCAACCTTCTACTCTCAACAACAACAACAACAACAACACGTTCCCTTTCATGGCCACATCATCAATCGCTGGCGCTTCCTCCAACTTCACCCTTCTCCACCGCACTCAGGGGAGAAGGAACGACGCCGTAGAGGGTGGTGGTGGTGTTCGTGTGTTGTCTTCGGGTGGCAACTTTCTGAAACTCTTGAGGTTGAAGCACAACAAGCTGAGCACGTGCTATGCAACTCGTTCCACTACTGTGCCACGTGCTTCTTCCACTCATGAGGTTGTTGTTGGTGGTGGAGTTCTTGAGAAGGAGAAGGAGGAAGGGAGGGTCTTGAGGGTTGGTCTCATCTGTGGTGGTCCTTCTGCTGAGCGTGGAATTTCCCTCAATTCAGCTAGATCAGTTCTTGATCACTTGCAGGTACAATAACAAACAAGTTCATTATGCATTGGATTATTGGAAACTCTTACAACTTAATTATTCTCTTTCTTTAATTTGCTTCTATACTTTCACTATTTTTGTCTTTGAAATTAAGGATATTTACACAACTATGTTGCAATTCAGAGAGAATTTGTCACTTGGGTTTGTTTGTTTTTTGCTTTTATTTTTTTGGGGTCTTTTATAGTTGCACCAGTGTGTTATGTGCTGGTTTTTTTTTTCTCTTTTTAGTCTCCCCCTTAAGAAAAAGTTGCACTGAGAAAAAAAAAAAAAAAAAAGAAGAAGAAGAGAGGCTATGGTTATGTAGGGGTGTAGAGAAACGGTTCTTGTGTAAATGCATGCACTAATTTAGGGGTGTTTCCTGTTTTATTTATTAATTTCAATTTTTTTTGTGTTATCTGACAGGGAGATGATTTACACTTGAGTTGCTATTATATTGATTGCAATCTCAATGCATATGCAATTTCTTCTGCTCAGGTTAGTATAATATATGCTTCCCAAAATTGTGCTGCATGAGCTTCTTTTCTATTGAACTACAGTCTTTTACTAAGCTTATGAGCTTATATAGCTGAGAGAACTTCTGATCTGAATAATTCTAAATTCATGTATAATAATCCCTACGATATGACAAAATTTGAACCAAAACAAGGCTGGACAAGTCACATATATACTATAAATATACAGTTTCTAGTATGCACAGTTTTTCTTATAAACAGTGCGAGTTGTTTGCCTATCTTTAGTTCTACTGATCATGAATTGATCACATTCTTGATTTAAAACTGTCAGGCCATGTCTTTTACTGTTTAGTTTTCAATTATTTAGTTTAGTTTTCAATTATTTAGTTCAAAGTGAAATGGGAAAAGATAAAAAGGGAAACATGTTTCTTCCATCCAAGCCATTGTTCTTATTTCCATATATTTTCTGCAGGTATATTCCAACACCCCTGCTGATTTTGATTTTAAACTTGAAAGGTCAGTGAACCCTTTCAAATTAGGGAAAATTACAATAAAGGAAGTCTTGGTAGAAGTATTTCCAATTTAGGAATAATCAGCCCCTCAATTGGTCAGCAATGTTCAAAGAGTGGTTAATGAATAACCATGAATTGATTTAATAAATCACTTATGTGGTTACTGTTCCTAAAATGGAATTTTTTTTTTTTGCTAATAATTACTTTTCTGTAATTTTCTCTTCAAAGTACACAACAAATACTCATAAAAATATAGTATGGAATAATTTGCATTTGAAATTGCAAGAGTAAAGATGGCCACTTGTTGAATTTGCAGCCTTGCCAAAAGTTTCCAAACTTTGGCTGACTTGGCAGAGCATCTGGCTACAGCTGTGGACATAGTATTTCCAGTTATACATGGTAAATTTGGTGAAGATGGTGGCATTCAGGTGCATATATATAAGGATTTCTTTTAGATTATAATGAACTTGTCTATTTATGAATGATAATTCTCTGTGATAAATATTTTTAGGAACTGCTGGAAAAGTATAATGTTCCATTTGTTGGCACAGGATCTAATGAGTGCCTTCAAGCATTTGACAAGGTACAAGACACATGTATTTTGTTATCTTTTTATCATAACTGTAATGTAGCCACACATTTGAGCTCTAAGAATGGTTTACTTTTTCTTAGCCATCATAGTTAGATTAGGTTCAATATATTTAATGACCACCATTTACTAAGAATCAATTGATTTGAAATCTTAAATTAAATCATGAAATATGCTTGAAAGCCTTATTTAGTATTTAGATGATGCAGACTTATTAACTTTTGGTATTCAAGGTCTGGATGCTAATTGTGGTATATGAGAAAGTCATTGGGAAAAACTATATGGAAAGTTTTAAAAACTCAGACATCTTTAATTTTATTTTATATACAGAAAAATGATCACCTTTGTCTTCTCTATTAATCTTTTGTTACTTACTAGTTTGACTATATCTGTGGCACTAATTTTTCGCCTTAAAATTATTGCTAGTTTAAAGCATCGTTGGAGCTCAGGAAGCATGGATTCATAACAGTACCCAGTTTCTTAGTTCAGGTATTCAAAATTGTATTTTTACAAGGTTATTGTTTCACCTTTTAATGAAAACTAATTATGTGTTAATAAGTGTGTATCTTCTAATGTTTTTAAATGTTAGATTTTTGGGTGCTGCAAGCCTAATGTTCATCTATATTTTTTTTTTGTATTAGATTTCATCCACATTTAATTGCTTGTGAAAGTGTTTTCTGTCTTTCAACATTAATTCATCCACGTTTCCTTATTTACTTTCTACGAGATTTATAACATTATGATGTCAATTAGGGGTATGAAGCAAAGAAATCAGAACTATCAGAGTGGTTTATAAAACACCAGCTGGACCCTGACTCGGGAAAAGTTGTGGTAAGGCACTTATTTAGTTAGTCATTAGAGATTAATTCATTGTGAAGAAGTTTGTTATGCTTATTGATGTTTTAAAATTTGATGTCTCAGGTTAAACCAACAAGAGGAGGGTCAAGCATCGGTGTCAAAGTTGCATATGGTGTGACTGATTCTCTTGTAAAAGCAAATGAAATTATGTCTGAGGTATTTCAGTCAATTTGGCAATTGAATGGGGGCACATTCTTTAATAATGTGACAACTTTTATTTAAGAATCATATGCAATTAATACTGTAGATGAATATACAGACAAATCTAGGAGAATGATTATAAAGAAAATTAAGGAGGAATACATATTGAGTAGAAGTATGTTAAGTAAAAAAATTATACTTCTCTCATTTTTGGTATTGGTCATTGATTTTGAATGTGATAGGGAATTGACAATAAAGTGCTAATAGAAATATTTCTGGAAGGAGGGAGTGAGTTTACAGCCATTGTCCTTGATGTAGGATCTGGTTCAGATCGTTGTCCTGTTGTGCTACTTCCTACTGAGGTATGTTTTGTCTTTTCTCCCATGAGATTTCTTGTTTGTTCGCTGCAATTTTAAAATCTTCATACTTGCTCCCATCACTCTGGAGAGGACTAAGTATTTGAAATGAGACAGCAGAAGGTATCAGATCCTGTTCGGTTCAATGGAATGAGGGTGGTGAGAATGAGAAAGGGAATAGGAATAAACTGAAAGTTTGTTTGAAAAACTTTGGAATGAGAATGGTCATTTCTTGGGGAATGTAGATTTCACCATTCCCCCCAAAATTAAATGGAATGGCCATTCCATTAGAACTATATTGATTGGAATTACCTTTATACATTGTCTTTTCTAAAAATAACAAAAAGTATCCTCTGTCATCAACTGCCTCCACTCCCACAACAACCCCCATATTTGCTGAGCTGTAGTGTTGTCATTGAAAATTTTCTTTTTTTTCTATTCTTGACAATGAAACATGCTACTGATAATGATTGTTGCACTCCTTTCATCCTCATTCTCACTAAGATCATTCCAGTGAACTGAACTGGACTTTACTGAATTTCCTTTTTCAAAAAAATAGAAAGAAGAAGAAAATGAAAGGAATTTACAATTTTAGCAAATATGATGTACTTCTGGATGTATTTCAAGGCCATAAATTGGCCATGACTCATCACAGAAAATCAGTGATAATAATTAGGATCAGTTGTATTTACAAATGAATTTCTGTTGTGTGTCTGGAAATGTCAACATGAGATTCCTCATGCAATTTGTACACAGCATTTGCATTTGGCTATTGCCTAATGAAAATTTCATACTCAGTAGTAATAGTTTAATTTAGGTGAACAGGTGGAGCTTCTAGTCCGTGGTGCAAATGATATGAAAGAGAATGATGCAATATTTAATTACCGTAGGAAGTACCTTCCAACCCAACAGGTCAGTAGTAGTGTGTATGTGCTATATGTGCACACAAGATATACTGTACATGCTTGCTGATCTTAAAAACATGAAGTGACTTTTTTTTTTTTAATCTCAGTTTATTGAATATTTGTTTCAGCCAATGTTGGCTAGTATCTTTCTAATCAGATGAAGCATATATTCTCCACAGGTTGCTTATCACACTCCTCCTCGATTTCCTTTGGATGTAATTGAGAATATTCGCAAAGGAGCATCTCTGTTATTTCAACGGTTTTGCCTGCAAGATTTCGCACGAATTGATGGATGGTTTTTGCCTAATTCAGGTTGTACATTATCATCTTCAGAAAGTGAGTTTGGAAGGACTGAATCTGGTACTGTAATATTCACTGACATTAACCTGGTGAGACATGATTTTCTTCCTTGGGAGGAATACAGATAATATCTTTAGCAATTTCACTGCTTATGTTAGTTGTTCACTATAGCTGAATATTAAATTGCATGTTTCAGATCAGTGGTATGGAACAAACCAGTTTTCTATTTCAGCAAGCTTCTAAGGTACTTCTTGATGCGTCTGCATCGCACTTCTCGTATTGAATATTCATAGATCCTTATATTTTCTAGGGGTATTGCTATTTCATAATTATGTGTGTCTGTGTGCAATTTTTTTTCCCTTTCAAAATCGACCGATTTGTCTTAATGTGTTTGTAATGCCAAATTGCTTATTTCCTTTTATTGGGATTTTACCAGAGATACCTCGTGTCACATAAATTTATCTCCAAACAGTCCTGGTTTAGGAGTGTATGGTTTAATGTTGTTAGGGATGGGCATGGTTCGATCCGAAACGGTTTTTTCCTAAACCAAACTGAACAGGTTTTAACCTGTTTGGTTCAAAGAACCGAATTGTTTTATTTAATCCAAACTGTTTTATTTTTCCTGAACCGGTTTGGAACCCTTTCAGAACCAGTTTATATTTCAAAACCAGTTTATGATTTATAACCGATTCAGAACCAATTCGGATATGTAAATTAGTTCTAAACCAATTTCGAACTGGTTCAACTAGTTGCGAAACGATCTTGAATCAGTTCTGAACTGGTTTCAAACTGATTTTTTTTTGTTCTTAAATTGGTTTGTACACCCAGTTTGGTTCTCAAAACTGGTTTAGAAAAATACGGTTCGGTTTGGTTATTTTTCACAGCTCTAACTGCTATATTCTCTGTTTCTAGGTGATTAAATGTTTGTCATGCTTGCTATCTTGTATATTTCAAGCATGATGTTCTGCAAACATGACACTGACCAGTTAAAGCCTTCTAGATGATAAATTTTTGTTTGTTTTTATTATTGATGCATGGATAATTCTTATCATTCATTGCTTGAAAATGCTATCTCTGCTATTCAGGTTGGGTTTTCGCATAAAAACATCCTTAGGAGCATTATTCACCATGCTTGCTTGCGATTTCCAAATCTTGCATCAGTTAGTCGAATATCAGGTCAGGTTCCAAGCAGATCGAAATCCTCAGAACTTAACAAGTCATTTCATCGCAATGAAGGTGCTCGAAAAGTTTTTGTCATCTTTGGAGGTGACACATCAGAACGGCAAGTATCTCTTATGAGTGGTACCAATGTCTGGCTCAATTTGCTAGCCTTCCATGATGTAAGTGTCCACAATCAGGGAGACCTTAAAGTCAATGATTAGTTTGCATAATGCTTTGGTAGTCATTCTGCTGAAGTGTAATTATGTCCTTCAGCTTTAAGTTTTTTAATTTTCTTATCTTTACAAATTTTCAGGAAATAGATGTATAAGCATTATTTTGACATTTTTGTACTTTTTTTTTGAGCTGATACATATTTTCATACCTTCAGAATCATCATATGATTTATGTAACAAATATAACAAACTTATCCAATATCTTATCTTTTAAGGGGAAGGGAGCAGGAGGTTATTTTAATAGAATAGAAGTGTTTTCATAAATGCGATACTTAGGTTTATATTTTAGCAGTTAATATAAATTTTACAAGATAATATATAGGTCTTAGCCAATGACTAAGAATTAAGAACTGTTGCATTCTCTAATTAAAGTGCAGTATGTATGATATGTCGGAGTCTCGGAGACTAAAGTCATTGTTCTTACAGCTTGAGGTAACTCCATGTTTGCTGTCCTCAACAAGTGAGTATGCATCCAATAACGAAATGGGAAAGAAGGCTGATGATGTAAGGAATAGAACAGTTTGGTCACTACCGTAAGTATTGGTCCTTTTTTCTACCTCAGGATTTGTCCTAGATTTCTAAATATGCATATGGGAACAACTTGTTTATTTTAAAGTTGTTAGAGAGATATAAAACCATTCATAAGCTCCACCTAACACCTTAAGCTATTAGGAGTGTGGGTCGTTGGCATGGTATAAAAGACTCAATGATCAAGTGGTCAAGTTCGATCTTTGCCACACCCATAATTCATAATTAAATTAAATTTTAGCACTGAGAAAAATGGGCTCAACCCCAAATGAATCTTGCATGAGGAGGTGTATTAGAGATCAAAAACCATTTAGGACTTCTATCTAATAGCTTAAGCTTTTAAGAGAATTTTTAATTTTCTATAATGACAGGCATCAGGTTTTCCTTTTGAATGTTTATTTACATGCATGGTTTCTCTTGAACCATTTTGTGCTCAAGAATGTAAAATTTCCATTTTGCTTAATAGGATTCTGAAGTTAGCAATTTCAATACAGAAATGTACATCCAATTATCTGCACATGCCAGTTTTGAATCCACAATTTATCTAATGTAGCTTGACATAGGAACTCAATCCATGATCAGTAATATCTGAGTTGATTGTGACTCATGCATGTGACCTATTCATAACGTAGTTAGAATGAAACGATTCAATGGTAATTATTTGTCTACAGTTATTCTCTTGTTCTACGACATACTACTGAGGAAGTACTCGCTGCATGCTTAGAAGCAATTGAGCCAGATCGGGCTGCACTAACATCTGAACTAAGGAAGAAAGTAATGAATGATCTCACGAAGGGTTTGCAGGATCACAATTGGTTTACAGGGTTTGATATTTCTGACGAACTTCCTATGAAATTTTCATTAAGGCAGTGGATCAAGCTAGCCAAGGAAGTCCAGGCAACAGTTTTTATTGCAGGTATTAAAAGCAAAAAGTGTTTTCTAGTGATTAAATTTTTAACTCCAATTTCTTTGCTTATACATGCTAAAAGGTTTTCATATGCACTACTTATATAGTATTTGAGATGCATTGTTAGCTGTCAGGGTCAAGATGGAGTGTGCTTCATGCATCATCCTGAAAAAATATCAAATTTGATGTAATGTTTCAATATAATCACAAACTACTTTTTTTAATTTTTTATTCTGAGGTAGATCCAGAAAGAAAAGGTTGTAGGGGAAAAAGTTGTTAGGTATGACCACGCGGTGAAGACAATAATAGTCATATGGGTAATCTATTTAAAAATGGTTTAAGAGGCTCTCATTATTTGTTTAAATAGTGATACGGACCAGAATAGGACACATTCTTTTAACTGTTTTCTAGCGATTTAAATGTGTAGTTCAAGTTTCAAGGAATGCAGGTTTATGAAATTGAATGTGTATGTCTTTACAGTGTTCATTCTTTGTTACTTATAGTGCATGGAGGCATTGGAGAAGATGGTACGCTTCAATCTTTGTTGGATGCTGAAGGAGTTCCCCACACAGGTTTGTTTATAATGTACACTTGATATACGAGACTATTAAGTATAATGGTATCTGTAAAGAACCAATTCAACCCAAAAGCTTAAGCTGTTGGGTGAGACTACATTAATGGTTTTATATATCTCAACACGCCCCCTCACACGAGAGCCCACTGGGGTTGAAGGGTGGACAATGCACAGGTCCACCTACCTGTGCAAAGAAAGAAATTCCACTAAAATTAAAGTGGAGGGCGGTGAGGATCGAAGCCGGTACACCGAGGCTCTGATACCATGTTAATTATCAAGATACAAGGATTACAATCAATACCTCTTGTATCTTGATAATTAACAGTATCCACCACTCAGTTTCAAATTTTTTTTTTTATTTGTAGTTGTCTTTTTTACCCTCGTTATCTTCTGTTGAAGGTCCTTGTGCAATGGCATCAAAGATTTGTATGGACAAAGTTGCAACTTCTGTTGCTTTAAAGCATGTATGTTTCCTTAATTCAAGAATGTTTTCTGTAAAGGATAAAGAACACTCCTCTTACATTACTTTTCTCAATTTGACATGTTTATCTGACTGTTCATTCCAATCTCCTGTTATTAAAAGCTTGCGAATTCGGGAGTTCTTACCATAAATAAGGACGTCAGGCAAAAAGATGATTTGTTTAATAATCCCATAAATGATATTTGGGATGACCTCACCCTGAAGCTACAGTGTGAAACATTATGTGTCAAGCCAGCGAGAGATGGATGCTCAACTGGGGTTGCAAGACTATGGTAGATTTATCACTTTGTTATTATATATTTTTCATGTTATCTATGATTTGCAGATTATCAAATATTGCATTATACTATGCTTGTAAAGGATTAAAAGAATCGTTCTACTACTTTACTTGCTATTCTATTTTCGTGCAGTTGTTCCAATGACCTTGCTATATATGTCAAAGCTCTGGAGGACTGTCTACTAAGGATTCCTCCTAATTGTTTATCAAAGGTACAGGATAAGGAATAAACCATCAAGACCTTATTTGCTGAGAACTTATGGTTAAAGTTTAGATGTGGAGTAAATATTCTGACTCTAATACTGTATATGAAAGAGAGAAAGAGAGAGAGAGAGAGAGAGAGAGAGAAGATTTTCTTAAAAAGGCTAATTACTAATGAATGGTGTGGCCTTGATATGTATTTATAATATTGTTGTGCCCATGCAAAAGTATAATATACCGTTCACCTACAGTGCATTACAATCAATACTTTCTGAATTAGTCAATATCATTCTTTTTTCTGGCTTCTTGTTCTCTACATTACCTAGAAGGTTATCTCTACAAATGTTAAACACTGAAATATAAATTTGCATTTATTTGTTGTATCTGTTATTTTATTTGGCAATGTACATGAGCTCTTCAACTTTTGGTTTTATGACGTTGTTTGTCTTGCTTTTGATTGATGTACAGGCACATAGTATGATTGAGATGCCAAACCCTCCTCCAGAACTCTTGATCTTTGAACCTTTCATAGAGACAGATGAAATAATAGTGACATCCAAATTTAAGAATGAGACTGGTCATGGCTTCATGTGGAAAGGGCACAATAGATGGGTGGAAATAACAGTTGGCGTCATAGGAAAACGTGGATCAATGCACTCACTCAGTCCTAGTGTAACTGTCAAGGAAACTGGCGATATTTTGTCACTAGAGGAGAAGTTCCAAGGTGGGTCTCTACAAAATTACATAGATTTATAATCGTAGTTTTATAAAAGGATAATTGCAATTAGCACGACCTTTGTGTAAGTTTTCTTAGCTTATATAGTTAAAAACATAAAGTCAACCCCACTTGGAGGATTTCCATGCTCCTGTAGAGTATTGGATTTTAGGTTTATGAGAAGAAAATGCTAAACATAAAAGTTTCTGGAATCAAAGGGTTTTAAGATGCAGTACATAGCATATAAGTTCAATAAAACCAAATACGCAAGTTAGAAATTTTTGGAGGTGAAAATTGCAAATTACATCATACCACAAGTCGCATGGTTTAGGTGTCTTGGATCCATCTTTCAAAATGATGGGTAGATTGATAGGAATGTCACAGTGATCATATTCAAGCTAGATAAATGAAATGGAGAAATAATTCAAGCATAATCTGTGATTGCAAAGTGCCTATAGAACTCGAAAGAAAATGCTTTCAGTGTGATTGGCTGAAATAGCTTTTCAATTTTGAGTGCAAAATAAGCTAATCCAAACAGCAATAAGCGTGGCGGTGACGAGGAAGCTAATATTTGATGAGTGGACAATAGGTGAAAGATAAGATTACGAACAAATATATTCGGGAGAAAGTTAGAGTAGCACCTATTAACAAGGAGACGATAGAAACTTGGATTAGATGGTTTGGTTATGTGAGAAGAGGACTAATAGAGGCTACAATGAGAGTAGGGAATCAAAATGAAAGATAATACAATTAAAAGGGGTAGGGGAATACCTTAAAAAACTTTAGGAGGTCCATTAAGAAAGATCAATGCTTAATGTTTGGAACCCCCCTATCTTTATTTCTAGTTTATACTTTTCTTTCCTTTGTCAGGACTATAGTTGTTCACAGTGGCTCATCTTTATCCTTTACTTTTATATTTCTTGGCAGGTGGGACTGGCATCAATCTGACTCCACCTCCCTTGTCAATTATGAGGTATGTTAGAGGGATTCCACATCCCAGTGGCAAAACCACCTTTATGGCTCATTTCTTGTATATCTTGCTCTTTGAGATCTATCGCAACATTCTTAGTGGTATTTGATGTAAATATTTGACAAGGACATGGCCTTTTGTCGTGATAAGTATGTCGTTAAGAGTTGATTCTATCTACAGTTTGCTGATGTTTAAGTTTGGTACAACTTGTGGCAGGGTTGGTACTTTCTACCCTGGTATCAATTATAGCTCAACTACCATTTACAGATTGGTTGAAATTGGAAGCATATATCCAATTCCCAGTCTGATAATCCAGAAAACTTTTTAGTCACTTATTTTTAGGGGGAAATAAAGACATGAATCAACAGGTTACAAACATCTAAATTCTATAAACGAAATAAATATCTCTGCCATATATATTCTGCATGCATGAAACACACTCGTGTTTGTTTTTCCAAAATGTGCAGACGAAGTCTATCAGTTGTTCTCTTGAATATTGATGACTATAGGTTTGTTGAAATACTTTGGTTGATAATGTAAATGCTTCATCTTTTGCACTTAAGGATGCTGTTATTGGCATTTCTATGCTTGACACTAGATCAAGATTCAGTGTCAAAGAAAATTTATTATGGAATACGAATTTCCTAATTTTTATTTAAGTGGATATGTGTCATGTCCTATCATGTAATTTTTATTTACAGCTAGGTTACACTGTGACAAATCGTTGTTTCTTCACATTGTAATGACGTGTTCACCTACTTATTTCTTAGTCAATACTTTGTATGTTTCTTTGAAGTGACTTTGAATGATATTTTTTTCTTCTCTTTATAGTGAGAAAGCTTTGGAGAGATGTAAACAGCATATTGAACTGATTGCAAACACTCTACAATTAGAAGGATTTTCACGTATTGATGCATTTGTCAATGTTGACAGCGGAGAGGTTTGTTGAATTCCTTGACGGGACATGTTTTCTCCCTTTTCTTTCTCCTATTTGTTTTATGAGTTTGTCTCTTTGAATTTGATGTTATAAATTTTTCTATTGATTCAACATGAAACTTAATGCTATTCTCTTTTGAATAGCTGGAAAATGGGGAGGTAGAAAATTTGTAATGAAAACTACTTCATCCTGCTTGGTACAACAAAAATTGGGAAGGATGAAGGTTGAGTGCAACACATTTATACTCCACTCCAAAAATTTTGACCACTCAAATAGTATGAAAGTGAGATGAAAATGATTTTCCCCTCTACTAAACAGCAATGAGTGAAAATAAAAACATTTCTATGATATATCCCACCCCATTTTCATTTTTTCCCCCTTATTTCTCACCTGTTTGTTTTCCATCTACTCGAACAATCATAGCCTTAGCGTAAGGCATGCATCATGTGACTCAAAATGCGTTTCAACCTTCTTAGAATGCTTAAGAAAACTGTTGATATATATTTTGAAATATCACATACTTCGGTTTTAGAAATTGTTTCGTTAGTATTCCTATAATAAACTTCAGTTGTTGAACGTAACATTCCATTTTTTTTTGCTGATATATGCTGATCTACTAGTAAACATTGCATTGCAGTTTGTTGTGAGAGTCCATTCTTAATAGAATATGATCATCAACTCATTGAAATGAAAACAATCACTTCATTTTCTCATAAAGGAATTGTGTTTCAATGACTTATCATCATCTTACTCCTTGATAACTTCCAATGTTTGTAGGTTTTGATTATAGAGGTAAATACTGTGCCTGGAATGACACCTTCCACTGTTCTGATTCATCAGGTATATTCTTGCAATGATACAATTACTTTTCTTTCATAATCTTTTCAAGTGTGTATTTTTTTTCTCTGACTAGGCTCTGACGATGTATGTGCTTTTGTCGCATGAAGATTGAATTAGGACATTATTCTAAACTGCATTTAAAACCAGTTAGCATATTGCAAAGGCTAATGACATGAACTTGAAGGAGATGAAATTGAAACCTTACTTTTGATTCCTTTTAACATAAAATAAATATTAAGATACAAATAAGGATCTATATAAAAATTGAAAGCATTTTTAATCTAGCAATAAGACATAACACAATCAGAACAACCACCTATATTGAGTCTTATGATTCTAATTGACTATATCATTCTCTTATATATCTCAGGCACTAGCAGAACAACCACCATTGTATCCTCATCAGTTCTTCCGTACGCTTCTTGATTTGGCATCTGAAAGGTCTGAGTAAATATGTTTAAAAGAATGTTTGCATTGGTTTCATCAAATGCTGATATCACTGGAAGCTATTGTGTAGCAGCAGATGACATTAATGTTCCTATGTGTGAGTTGCTTCCCTATGTAATATGAAACTTCAATTTCATTCTTATTTTCTTATTTCCCTTCCAAGTATGTTATCAAGTGCAATCAGAGGTTATTCAGGTTCTTCCATCTAGTACTGAATTTCCAAGAAATCTTCTATGTGCTTTCAACAATATGTAGTTGTGTGGCGAAAATCACAAGTCTGACAATAATAATTATAATATTGTTCCTACAAGGATAGAGTGATGATCAAATTATGACAACTTTAATTTTCTAGGTTACCGAAAATAATGATCACAATTTGTACCCTAAACTCAACCCTAAATCCTATAATTATCGTAATTTTTATTGGTTTCCCAAGAGGTTCATTGAAAATACAACTAGTTTGGTTTGAGTACCAATATAAGGGACGGTTCTCCCAAAAATATATTTTTCATTCCTAGATGAGAACGGAAATAGAAATGAGTAGGTAATTAAAAATGAGTTGCAAGATATCATGTAACAGGACATCCAATGTATTTAATAATAAAATATAAACGCCGCAAAAATATAAATGCTTCAGATAGAATACAAAATTGGGATGGGGAAGAAACTCTGCAAAAAAAAGTATGGAATACAAATTTGGGTAGGAGAATAATTTGGAATGTGGGAATTAATACTATTAGTCAAAATTATAATAAATATGTTAAATATAAGGAGATTAATTAAAACAATTGAAAGTATAAGATGATAATTTAAAACATGACCAAAGTTTAAGGTGATAGGTTATACATTAACCTTAAATATGTGATTTTTTTTTTTTTTGGAGTTACCCAACCCTAATTATCTCTTTGAGACGAGTTGGCTCCCTCCGGTATCCCCACGAGCTTCGACTCTTGGAGCCGGCTATGGGACTAATCCGGAGTGCGGGGGAACAGTGATGGCTAAAGGTTCAGCCCCCTCCCCAAGAATGCATTCAGCAGGAATCGAATACATATCCAACCCCACTAACTCAGCGCCAAGTTACAAATATGTGATTTTTCTTTTCTTTACAATTCTAAACTATGATTTTAAGAGTTGCTTATTAACAGTGATTAGCACTGTTTTTGTATATATAAAAAAACAAATGTATCCACACAAAAAAAAACAATGATAAATGCTTTCAAGTTTCTATAATGGGAATGACATTTATGAAAATACTCTCTCTTTATTGTCCAAGAAATAACGCACAAATAAGAATATAAACTACCTTTAATTTTAATAAATTAAGATCATAATACATTTTAAATTAAATTAACTATAAATACAACATTACTTGATTGCTTTACAAAACAACTGACTTTACCCTAACCTATTATCCGTTAAGTGAAATAAAATTGTCGTTCTTCCTAAATATTTTTAATTTTTCCTCTTAAATATTATTGTCAGAAGTCGTTAGCATTAATTCCCCCCTCTTCCCCGCAGAAAAAAAAAAACAAAACAAAAATTGACTTCAAAGAGGCAATTATCGAACAAATGATTTCTCCTTCGTGTTTAATAATTTGACAAGTCAATGCAAACTCAATTCCCTTTTTTTTGAGTTAGTGTTGAAACATATAAATATTCAGCATAATCAGCCCACAAAGATAGGACACGAACAATCTCTCACATGCATTGTCGAAAGAACTTGAATGTAATCATTCAACAAGCATGTGAGGCTGACTAGATAATTCAATCATCTTTATCTGAACTGGATTCTGAATCTTCGATAGCTTGCAGCTCAATAGGTCTCATCCTGTTTGTATTGGCTTCCAGTGGAGGTAGTCCATCATCATCACTTGCGTCTGTCTCATTCTCTTGTTGGGAGGTGGTTATTTCATTTGAATCATCTATCATCCCAGATTTAAAAAATTCAGGCCTATATGGCAGCAATGATGTGAAAAAAGTGAGTATATGTTGTCTTGGATAAGGATACCATTAGATGATGCTACCATATAAAATCCATGTTCTATATAGAAAAAAGTATACGATTATTTAACAAGAGAACACAATGCAAGTAAAACTACATCAATCAAAGCTGGAAACAAGAGCACACCATTCTGGAGATTTTTGTAGTGCTCGGACTTGTTCATAGAAAAGAACTTGAGAAACAAGACATCCAACCTTGCTACCTGATTCAAGAGCCTTTTCTTTTCCACTTTCATCAACTACAACAAAGCTCCCTGCACATTGAGCAATGATGTGGAGCCAAACCAAGAAAGGAAATAGTTTTCAAAACCAATACACGTTTCGATTTTTAGATCAGGTTGCAACCTAAAATTCTTTGGCTGATGGCTTGGAGTTCATAAAATATAGAAGAATAGATGGTTCTCTAGCCAATTCCCCGGACATAAAATCCAAATATCCCACAATCAATGTTTTCAAGCAGTATAGAGTTAGACTATAAAATGTTCAAGTTTGTTTGATGACTACAGATTGTTTGACAAAATGGGTTGCTTCTTAAATAGGACAAACCTCGTTTTATCCACATGCTTTTCTGAAATTTAGCAGGAAATAGAGCTAGTGATTTCTCACCACGTGCATCCATGACCTTGAGACAAATCAAGAAGGAAATATAAGTAAAAACTATATACACAAGTAAACAATGATAAGGTTTAAAAAGAGGGGGAAGGAGGGGGGTTGGACTGAGAAGACTGGATACTTGTAAAGCAGTACCTCAATGAGATTGGACCCTCGAAGAGACACCACCTGCATGATGCTTTGCCCATCTTGAAGGGTTATATGCTTTTCCTCGGTTGCCCTCTTCAAATTCTTCCTTCCTCGTCTCGTGGCCATCTAAAACCCTAATTTTTCCAGTTGCCAAGGTTTATCACAAAACTTTGCATATCACAATTGGAAGCTATAACACCCCTTGTCAACCCGACTTGTTACATGTGATATTCAAGCAATGACAAAAAAAGGAGTACGAATAAGACATTGATGATTGAATTTTTTTTATTTTAACACTCACGAGAAAAACCAAATAAGATTCATAACAGCAAGGAATTCCCACCACGAAAAGCAATATAAAACCATACCAATTAGGACAAAGTTATCATTACACGTTCAGCCATAACATCATGAATATAGCATAACATCACTTACACTTAAGCATCCATAATTCCTTATGTACAGTGGCAATTTCATCAATGACCACATTCATGGAAGCCATCACAACAACCTACATAACCCACACCGATGACCACATTGATTGCAGACATCATTGTATCAATACAGTGTGCCCAATTGTCCATAAGTAAGTGTGTTCAGCTCAAACATCGATGAGCATCCCCATCACTTTAGAGAATCATTCATACATCAAACATATAGCACCAAGGTCACTTATTTATAAGCATCATTCCTCTTTCATTCTTTTTCTATATCGCCGTATATGTATATATGCATATATGTATCATTCATCATTCACAATGGCGTACAACTCAAAGAGGTATAAGAATGTGGCTTGGCCACGACAACATATCCAGAATTCATATAAAAAAAATGGCACCACACACACATACATACCCATAATAAGTCACAGCCAGAACCGGGTACTTCTCAAATTTTCAACAACACACATTAATGACATTTATATGGTTTGGTTTCAGTTCTTTTTACCATGTTTCATATTTTACAACTCAATAGAATCAAGCTAGTGGAATACATTTAATTGAAATCACCAAATTCAACCTTTGTACCCAAAGGCTCGGACTCATCAAGAATTCTCTCTCTCTCTCTCTCTCTCTCTCTCTCTCTCTCTCTCTCTCTCTTCGATCTTCATGAAATCCATCAAGTAAGTAAATCAGACATACACATCTCCTTTAGTCATAAACAGAGTACTTACATCATTTCTCTCAAATTCCAATCACACATACTTTAAACTTAACATGCAATTCATTCAAAGCCCTTCCTAATAACTCCTATAACAGTAGACAACAAAGAATTTCAACATGCATTAAGAATCTAAGAAAAGATTAAGTTTTTTAACTATCGATCTCACACCAATAACCATACCTTTGCCCCAAAACCTTCCCAAATTAAAATCAAAGAATAGAAAAAGGGCTCTACAGTTTACCTAGCTTTTCGGTTGTTTGAATGAACTTCCTTCAAACTTTTACTTCAACCCACTACAAATCTCCTTGAAATCTTGTTTGACTAGGCACACCACAACCAAACAAGAACAGGGAAAAAGGGGAAAATGGGGGGTTTCTAGTTTGAGTTAGGGCTTTGATTCTCGGTGAAGGGAGAAGAGATTTCCTTGTTTTCTCTTGATTAGGAAGAGTGGACAACCAAAAGACTTAATCACCCTCCTTTACGTTTCTTTGCAAGTAGAAACAAAATAAAGGGTACTTCAGTCAAATGAACATTGAGTATGATTTCACTCAAATTTATCTACCTACATAATGTTGGATGCCCAAGACACATGCACCTAGGTTACAAATCAATAACAAATTTTTGGATCGGTTCAAGTCATCATGTGAGTTAGGGTAAAAATTTGATAAAACGGATATAATTTGATTTGGAGTAAATATTCTTTTTAGTCCTCAGCAAATCTCACGATGCCGGCTTTAGTCTCTAGTAAATAAAAAGGCTATTTGTGGTTCCTAAAAAATTCAAAATGAACACATTTAGTTGAAATCGTGGTCCCTCACAAATTCAAAAAAGATCTATATTAATCCCTCGAAAGGATTAAAATGGGTCCACTTTGAATTTCTTAGAGACCACAAATAGCCTTTTTATTTGCTAGAAACTAAAGCGGGTATCGTAATATTTGCTAAGGAACGAAAATAGTATTTACTCTTTGATTTATCAATGCGCTTGTACATCCAACCAATGTTATTAAAACCGGCCCGGTCATTGACCCGGTCGAGGTACCGGGTCACTGGGTTGCTGGTTCAACCAGTGGGTCACTGGTTCAACCGCATGATCCGGTAATTATATGTAATTTTATAATTTATATTGAAAAATTATAAACATACTCAAATATCTAAAAAAATGATAAAAATTTCAAATATTTTAATACAAAAAATAATAAATCACATATTATTATCAAATAAAAAATCAAACAAATATATAATGATCGTGATACGGGGCTTTAGGTTCAAAAAATGACATCTCTAACTATAAATTAATTCAAATTTTATGCATAGTACATAATTGAGATAATATTAGTGTTGTAGGTACATAACTTATTTAAGTCAATAAGCAAAAAAATATTCAAATATGGCTATTATGATTTTTTTTTGAAAAAAACAAAAAATTGGAATTTTTTTTTGGACCGCCCTGGGTCACCGGTTAACCGACCGGGTCACCGGTTTTTTATGAAAACCGGCCGGGTCGGACCGGGTCGCACCGATTCTGATGCATGACCGGTTCATTGCTTCAACTGGACCGATTATATGACCGATTTACCAGTTTCTGGGTCGACCCGGCCGGGTCGGTCCGATTTTAATAACTATGCATCCAACTCCTATCCTCAAGCACCTCCATCAAGGTTACTAGGTTGCATGGAATGAGCATACTTTACCATGACAAGTATGTATGTCAATGTGTATAATTATTGAGCATATCATTACATTACAGGAGTACGTACTCATTCAGTGTTACCTACATGGCTACACATTGGTATTTGGTAATGTAATGCGCGTAGAAATGAATGCAGGTTAGGATATGGCAATAGCATAATATCAGTATTGGAGGGGAGCGAGGATTGGAGGCGAGAGGATGTAAAAATTAATTTTTTATCTTGCATATTATTAGTATTTCTTTTATTTATTGACCTCATATCTTCATAGAACTCATTTAGGTAATTTCTTACCAAAATATTAATATTTAACAACATTCCAAAGATTAAAATGTATTATTTGCCGGGTCCAACAGACATAAAAAGTAGTTTAAAGTAATAATTTTTTTTAAAAAAAGGAGAGTGCATTGATTCAACGATAACATTAACTAAAATAATACTTTTAACTATAAATTTTTTATTAAAAAAAAAGATTGCAACCAAGTTGCCCCAAAAATTAAATCTTTTAAGTTAGAGCAAACTCATTTTCTCTATATGAAACCACTACACAAAGAGAAACAAAATCATGCAAATGAAAATAGAGCAAAGCAAAAAGGCCAAAGTTTTCATTAACCAAAATATAGCAAATGAAAATAAAAAAAGAAAATGCAGAAAAGGGTGCACATAACACACATTAGGTGAAGTGGAGGTAGATTTCAACTTGGATCTCAAACTATAACTTCCAGAAGAAGCACATTTAATAGTGAAAACAGTACCACGTCTAGCCTTCAACTGCATCAAAAAAAAAAAAAAATTGGAGGGGGGCAGCTGCCCACCCCAGCCTCCTCCTGGCTTCGCCCCTTCTTGTGATTACTACTTGGCAGTATCCCAAGTTGTCTGTTATTGATAAGTGTTCTGCTTGTTGGGCCGAGAGGTGTTCTGGGATAATATAGGAGCGAAAGCGTTTATGGAGCAAAAAATTACTACGAAGAGCAATTAATCAATTGAGAAGCAACTCTACCCAAGATGCTCAAATGCACACATTAGCTCTAATTAAACCAACATATTGGTTTCCACATCTCCACCCACATTGGTGATATCATCCAAAGTAGGGTTGGCAAAAATGAAACAACCCGTCAGGTTGGCTCGTAACCCGTCAAAAATGAGTCGGGTTGGGTTGGCAAAAATGAGCTGCCAACCCGACCCGAGCCAGCTCGAAAAAAATGAGCCAACCCACGGGTCAAACGGGCTAACTCGCGGGTTGAGTTTTTTTTTTATAAAAAAATACAAAATATAATATACAAAAATGGACAAAACCCACACACGCTGCCATCGTCTATCTTCCTTCTTTAAACCTAAGTCCCTAATCTTCTCACATAGCTTCCATTTTTATATTGCTAGGCACTGTTTGGTTCAAATATCTTACCCACTTGGTAGCAATTGATTCTGATTGTTTCTCGATGTTGGTGCAAATTTGGTATGAAGAAAATTCGAAATGAGAACATTTTGCTTTTACTTCTCATTCTGTAACTTTCTATTTTGCTTTTTTTATAAACTATTCTGTAAGACATTTGTATTGCTTAAGCTGATGGAAGTCGCATAGCTGGTGCATTAATACTACAGGTTCATTTAAATAAGCTGAAAACGAGCCAACCCGCGAGCCATTTTTAAGCCAACCCGCGAGCCATTCTTGCAAGCCAACCCACGAGTCATATTTTAGAGCCAACCCGCGAGCCAACCCTAACCTGGCTCGGGTCGGGTCGGGTTGGGTTTTCTAGCTCATTTTCTTTTCGAGCCAACCCTAACCCGGCTCATTTTTTCGAGTTGCATGCGGGTTGGGCCGAATTGGCCCGTTTTGCCAACCATATTCCAAAGCCATGGATATTGTGCCCTCCTGGGTCACCTTCTTCCCTCTGCCAGTGGCATCTGGTGGATTCTCTTTCAGGCTAGGGGATGGGACAGGTGTAGAACCTATCTCCATTTTGTTCATGGTGTTAGGTGTAGGATCTTTACTAGGATGCTTAGTTTTCAAAGCATAGTCTCCCCGTACTCTCGCATCAAATTTTGGAATATGTTTAATAGCATTCCTATCAATAAGGATAGTCTCTCTGGTGGGTGTTTTGTGAATGGGCATCCTCGGGTTTTCCTGGGGGAGAGAGTTTGAGCCCACCTTCTTAGCTTAAGATTTTAAATTTCTTCCCAGCACCTGACTGGTAGTGTTTTTCTCATAATTTCTTTTCTTCCTCCTTGACTCAGTGTTTTTTCTTGAGGTGGAGCAATATTTGTGTGCTCTGGGCCCAAATTTTTTTTGGTGGGGCAGAGGTGAGAGAAAGAGAAAAAAGGTGGAGGAGAGAAAGAAAAAATGGTCCAAGTGTCAATTTTTTAGTAGAAGGACCATGGTTGTCCTGGAGCATATTAAAAAATTCCCTTGAGGTGCTATTATCATTTGATCTGATCTGGTTGATACCACCAGCAGAGCCTACTGAATAAGGCTTAACTTTGGGATTCTCCTCGTCTTTGTCTTCCCCTAGCATAGCAAATCTTGAGCCAGAAGCTTTAGCATTGTGTCCATGACCAGAACCCTCTCCTCCATATTTCTCCTTGCCTAAACCAGGCTCCTTAATTTTCTGATGCGTAACTATATTCCTATTTTTGTTTTGCCTCTAGACTGTCATCCAATTACCAAAGTCATCAGTTTCCTAGCTTTCCTCAACTTCTTCTACTGTTTTTTCCTCACCATGACACTGATCAATGTGGTGGCAATGTGTAGTATCTCCTGTTGTCTCATCAAGTTTCTTGTTATTAGCTGGGTTAATCAAACATTGGTCTTTTCTATGACCATACTGCCTATAAAAGAAGCAGATACGGTGTAGGCCTTCATAGCCTATGTATAGTGAACTTTCTTGTTCAAAGTATACATGTCCAAAATGGTTTAATAATATTTATGGTGTGCATTACTTTTATGCACCGACGGTAGAAAAGTAATGTCTGAAAGAAACTGACCTTGAAGGTCGAGGCATGTGAGAGGGAAAAACAAAATTTTTCGAGCGGAATAACACATACCATATCAAGAAACATGCTTTAGGGCATGGATGTTACCTTGTTTGCTTTCCAAAACGGGAGGATGATCAAGATGAGGCTTGAAGATGCAAGCCCTCTAATGTTGATCCACACCACCCTTTGTCAAGACAGAAAAACTCTTCTTCAAGGCAACAAAACGAAAACACCAATGGAGGCAAGCTATGCGCCCAATGTGTGAAGGAGGAGGCTAGGTCAAGGTGTTTAGAAGAGTGAATATTCAGCAAGAATAGACACAAAATTGGCGCATGGTTTTCTTTGAAAAAGGCTAGGTTTTTTCGAAACTCTCTTAAGAAAAACCTCACAAAAGGAACCCACAAGGAGATGAGAGAATGAGTTAATTAAAATCTGATCTTCTTCACTCAAATAAGGCCCTATATATAGCGCACACTAGGGGATGAGTGGAGTTGTTGCAAAATTCAAATCTTGTCAACAACCTCCTCTCACATTCTCATGATATCAAGTGAATATCTCAACAAGAATCTGACTCAACAACCATCATATGGCCAGCCATATGGTGCGCCCCACTTGGCCTCATAACAGTCCAGATACGTTGAGCAGTTGCATTCAAACTTGAACCAACTGTCTCACTTATTCTCTCAACAAACCAAATCTGACTGGAGCTCATTTGGTTGATCCTATGACCATCATCAGATACCTAAATCAGCGCCTCATATCCTCACTAGA